TGCCAGGAGCCTTTGAAGTCCTCCAGGGGCGAGCAGGATTCCCCTCCCGCCRGCGGAGCTCCGGTGGAGGAATGCGGTGGTGAGGAGGGGGTTTCTCTCACAGCAGAGCCAATTAGAGGCACATCTGAACCGGTGACCCATGATGGAAACGCCTGGCAGAGCGGCTGCTGAGCAGGTCCCTGGTGTGTGTGGTGGGGGGCGTGGGGGGCGGTGGGGGGCTGTGCGAGGATCCAAGCCAGGGGCGGGTGCAGAGCCCAATCAACCCTCTGCGGCAGGAGGTGCTGAGCTGGACCCACCTCGGTGATCATGCAGACAGGGTTTGGCAATCAGGCCCGGGTGCCGCACTGCCCGGGACAGCAGAGTGAGTGGGGGCCGGCTGTGCGGCCCAGAGAGCCAGGGCAGCTGGGGCCCTCCTCCCTCTTCAGGCCCCCTCCCCACAGCTCCAGGAGCAGCCTGACGACCCTGCTCGGGCAGCAGCTCTCTAGGGTGCCCATTTAGCAGGTGAGGAAAGAGGCTTGGAGGGGTTGGTCGCGCTGCAAGAGGCACTGGCTGCCCCTCATCTGCAAGCCTTAAGGGGCACAGGGGCCACTAGAGGGTATGATCGGTGCCCACGGAGCTCACCCCTGAGTGCCTGAAGGAGCTCAGAGACCTGCCCAGGACGGGCCCAGGCTGGGCCGGGAGGAAGCCCTGCAGGTCCCCAGGCAGCCGGCCCCCTTCCTCCCTCCCCTGCCTTCCTCCACCTTTTCTCCTGCAGGTGAGTGTCCCACTCAGGAGGGGCCTTGAAGTGACTCCTGTGGAGAGAGGCCCAGCCTCGGCCTGCAGCCACGTAAACCCAAAGGCCACCTTGAAGCATCTGCCCATCTGCTCCATGTCCTCCCTGACCCCAAGGAGCCAACAATGGCCTTGCTGGCACCTGGCAGCTCCCACTGTCTGCAGTGAGCTCGGGGCTGGGGACCCAGGCTCTGGCACTGCTGGGCACGCCTGCCAGCACCCTGCGCCTCACCCTCGGGCCCTCCTCCCCAGGGAATCCTCCGCCCTCAGGAGAGGTGCCCAGCCCTACCAGTGCCCAGCACCACGCCTGGCCCTACCCACTGCCTCCCACCCGACCCTGGCCCAAGCCCCCTTATGAAGATGCACCAGCCACACGGAACCGTCTGGCCCCAGAACAAGCCCCGTCGTCTCCCCACGGAGCCCCACTTGTTCCTGGCCACAGCTCTCCAGCCTGGGTTTGGGGCTCTCCTCGGCTCCGATAGGTCAGCCGCCTTGTCCACCTCCCCCCAGGCCAGGGCTCCCTCCCTTTCTTATTCCCTGCTGGTCTCTGCTGGCACGTTCTCGGTGCTCGGTGTTTAAACACAGGAATGAACGAGGCCCACCGAGGGACAGTCACCGCCACTGTCACTCCCCGGTTAGCCCTCAGGTGGCCAGGCCTGCTGGGGGGCCGTCCTGCCGGCCTCAGGGACTAACAGGCATATTGTCAATGCCAGATGGGCAGTGGCATGTGGACGGTCATGTCCCTCAGGCCACGCCCTGTCCCCGCCTGCTCCTAGGCGATGGTTAGAAAGTCCAGCCCGGTCCCAGGCACACAGCTGCAGGTGTCTGTCCTCCAGGGAGGAGTGTCCAGTGCTGGCACTAGTGGCCAGGCAGCCAGGACGTGAGGCCTGATGAGGACGGATGGGACGAGGGTCTGCAGAGGCAGTGGCCTGAGCCCTCTAAAAGCAATTGAGCTTCCAAGAGATTCCTTGTGGCAGGGAGGCCGTCCTACAGAGGTCCTGATGTGCCTGGGAACAGATCGCTCCTGACAGAGACTCAAATGGATATCAATGTCTCCTCACCACCTCTAGGCGGGTCCCAGCCTCGCTCCCATAGCCCCGTCCAGGTGTGGAGGCTGGGTGGGAGCCACAGGGCAGAGCAGGATGCTGCTGCTCCGGCACTTGMCTTTCAGGCCCCTGAATCCCAGGCCGTAGGAACCACAGGCCCAAAGCTGATCAGCCTCCTCAAGTGCAAGCCACACAGCACCTCAGGCGCCGTCCAGCCTGTCCTAACCCTTAACTCTGATTTCTGGGCCCGGCCCCTCTCCGTTCTGCCTGCAGAGGGGTTCCCAGAAGCAAACGCCATAACTCGAGATCTGACAGTTACGCAGGCAGAAGAGCTTTTAACCCAGACGCGGGGCCATACCTTCAGAGCTCTCTGCTTGCAGACGTGTGGAGATGCGGCTGTCGGCGGGGTCCGGGGGGATCCTCTGCTCTCACGCGGCTCCTAATGGCAGACTCGGCCCTGGCCGCTCACGGCACGTCTCCCCACGCCGCGCCTCTGCTGACCCCTTTCAAAGCTGACCCGCACCGGCCTCCCCTCCCCTCCTGCCGATGCTGCCCACAGGCCTCCCTCTGCTCTGCTTCCAGGTCACTTGTTTCATGTGATGTTAAACTCTTCCCTGGACACTTGTCACCTGGACATCAATACGCTGGAAACAGTCAGCACCGAGCTCCTTGGGAGGGACAGAGGTGCTCTGCCCAGAGACCGAGTCCAAGTCCAAGGTCGGGGACCAGGAGAGCGTCCACCTGGGCCCCCTGGAAGCAGCTGAGATCCATCTCCCCCGGCATCAGGTCCCCATCCCTGTGCCCTGGACTGCTGCAGATGCCCTCCTGGTGGTGAGTGAGGGGCAGGTGGCCAGTGCCTGGCCCTGGGCAAGGCTCACGGTCACAGAGAGGGCCGAACGGCTCCCAGGCCGTGTGCAAGGTGCTCTGGGCACACCTGGTGCTCCAGGAAGCTCATGTGGACCTCGGAGCTGTCCTTCCTCATCCTCCCAGGCTCGGCAGGGCCAGGGCGATCCCCACCTGAGGCACAGGCCCCTCAGGGCCCTCGCAGGCTTGGAATCGCTGCTGTGCCGCCAAGAAGCAGGAACTGAATGGGCTCCGGAGAAAGTCTGAGGATGCCCCCGGCCTTGCGCATCCAGCACTGCCTGGTGGCCCTGGGGCGATGGGGTCCTCACCAGGCCAACCGCCCTGGCCTGGGAGTCTTGCTGGCTGAGTGGCCCTGTGCGGGTTTCTCTGGCCTCCCCCGTCTCCCTCCAGCACGCTCCTTTCCTGCCTAGGTCAGTCCCTTTCTGGGGCTGGCCTTTCAAAGGTCTAASTGATGCAGGAGGAAACAGAAGCTCAGAGAACTTAAGTGACTTGCCCAAGATCACACAGCAGGACTGAAAGCCAAGCCCAGGTCTGTCCTCGGATGACGGAGCAAGCAACCTTCATGCACCTCTGCCTCTCTGGCAAAGGGGCTCCACCTAGGCCTGTAGGAAGCACCTCTTCCCCTCTCTCTTCCYGCTCTCAGCAGTGACGCCCACAGCCAGGTTTGGGCACCTGAAACAATTCCTTTCTCTTTATTTGCAGGGCCGGGGTGGAGCCCAGGGCCTTGCGCATAGTAGGTAAGTGCTCTACCATCAAGCTGCACCCCTGCCTTGAAGCACAATTCTTACCCGTCTTTCTTCTCTCCACCACCCTCAATAGCTCCCCAGTGTCTGTCTCAAGCCCACAGACTAGGACATCAACCACCGGAGCCGCGCCTCTCCAGCCCCGGGTCCCAGCTGAGTCCCTGTGCCCTGGGTGGGCCCCSCGCTTCCTGGCTCTTCCTGGGGCACCTTCTCTTCCTTCCCACACTGAGCAGCCCCACCCACCCGTCAGGCGATCAGAAAAGCCCCTCCCATAGAAGCTGGCTCAGGGCACCCAGCCTTTGCTGCGGGACTCTTCCCGAGCCCCGAGACTCCAGCCTTCTTGGRAGGACAAAGCCTTCCTCATCTCTGTGGTTCCCCAGGACCAGCACAGAGCAGTTACTCAAAAGTGTCTGTTCAATTGCAATTAAATGTGACGTTGAGAAGCCCTAAGGAGCCTGCCCTCCGTGGCTAAGTGATGTCCTAATCACAGTCGGCGTGTGAGGGAAGGGTGAGCCATTTTCAGGGCGGCATGTGGGGAGGGTGGTTCAAGTTGTTCACTGCTCAAGGGCATCTGGCCAACAGGGCAAACTCCTCACCAAGCCCAGCGCCCAGGGGCTCAGGAGGGAGGAGACAGGGCGTCCTCATAAAGGAAGGACGTGCATTTTTCAAATCTGCACAAAATCAAGCAGTGGCCAGTGGTGCCTGCCAAGGGGCTGGGGTTCAGGGTTGGGACGGAAAGCTCATTCCCCACGGTCGAGAGTGGCCAGCTCGACCAGGCCTGCCGCCCGGCTCCTGCCACTGCCCGCTCCTGGACAGCAAGTGAGCCGAGAAGGATTTTGAACTTTTTAAATGATTTTTAAAAAAATCAAAAGAAGAATTTTTAAAATGTCCTCTGAATAACATTTGGGGAGGAATAGGTGAGCATTTTTTGAAATTCAAATATCAGGGTCTACAAGTCTTGTTCCTGGAGCGAAGCCCACCAGGCCTTTCCCTTTGGTCTCCTGGATTCCCGTACGGTGGCCACCAAGACAGAGGCCTGGTGACCTCAGCGCCTGCAGGACCACTAGCCAGTTTCCCTTGGGCCCCTGCAGACAGAGCACCAGGCCCTGCCTGAAGGAGCGTCCGGCTGGCRGGTCTGGAGGCGCCCTGTGGTCATCAAACCTGAGCCTCTGTCCCCTGCACCCCTCCTCCCAGAGGAACTTCAGAGGCACTGGTAACTGTCCCACCCCTGTCCCATGGCTCCCATGACCCAACCAGCAGGAACCAGGGCTGCAGGAATCCGACGGCTCCTCGCCAGGAAGCCATCGGCCTCACGTCCCCCCTTTCCCTGCACACACCGCACAGTGGATAGCCCAGGAAGTCCAGCGCCCACGCAGCGGCCCTCGAGGTCCACCACCCAGCGGCTCCTGGAGCCACGTTTCATCCTGGGACCCAGCACACCTCCAGAACCAGGGCGCACGAGGCTGCTCCTGTCTGCTGCCGCTCCCTCGGGGCACGCGTCCCCTTTCCAGGTCCAGGTGTGGGTGGGGGTCGGGCTGGGCCGAGGGCCGGGCACCAGATTCACATGCAGACTCACCGTCCAGCCRCCACCGTCGGTGCGCATGTCACAGTAGACCTGGAAGCCGGCGGGGTAGTGGGTGGGGAAGACGGAGTAGACACCATCGTCCTGTTGTCCACTGAGGAGGACGTCCAGGCAGTCTCGGGGCCGAGAGCCTGCCATGGGGAAGGCCCATCAGGTTGGCCACGGCCCAGGCCCATGTCCCCACCATCCCTTCCTACCCAAGCAGTCCCTGCTCTCTCTGACTTGTCTGTCCACCCCGCGTTGCCACGTGCAGCCAGGAGCACCGGCCTTAGTCAGAACTTGGCTCCGACACTCTCTGGACCTCACTTTTCTTCTCTGGTAAATGGGTTAAGAGAGCTCGACAGGAGAGCATGGGTGATGTGCTCGCAGCTGCCCAGCCACAGGAAATCCTGGGTCCCCAGCCGGAGCATTCCCTTGTCCATCAGAGCCGTGAGGTGGGTGGCCAAGGACAGGGCACAGTGGGCCCCTGGCTCTCCCTGCTCGCCAGGGCAGGGCACGTGAGTCACCTGGGAGGCATCCCCCCCCCCACTCACCGTTGGCGCAGCCCCGGGGCCKGGCGCCCCTGGAAGGAGCCCTCTGGAGGTCGGCCTTGACTCGGGGCCGGCTCAGCCCTCGGTCCCTCTGCAGGGCATCCAGGATGTCGCCGACAGAGTTCACCAGGTGAGCCAGGTGGCCTTGGCTCTCGGAGAGAAGCTGCAGAGCACGGGGGCTCACTGGAGGGCGCAGGGACCCCGCAGGGACCCCGCAGGGTCACGGGCACACAGCGTGCCACCTGCCAGAAGGGCCCTCCCCCAAGGCAGAAGTGGGCTCCTGGCCCCAGGGAGCCGCGGCCTGCTCCGACCCGGCTCCCCGTGCAGGGTGTCTGAGGGTCAGCTGAGCTCTGCTGGCTGCTGGCGGTCTGAGACCTGGGCCTCCGAGGGCAGGGGCCCAGGTGGGAGGAGGCAGGGTGTCCCAGCAGGTTCCTGCCGCCTGACTGCCCTTCAGCCATTTCTGTGCGGGTGGCCTGTGCAGGTGGAGGCAGCTCGTGGCAGGGCCAGGCTGGGGTCAGCCTGACCATCCACTGACCAGTTCCACAGCTACGGCAAGTGCCCTGTAGGGGTCCTTCTAGGGAAAAGGGGGCYGACATCGCCTCCCTGGCCAAACTGCCCTGGTGGCCACTGCAAACAGCACAGGGGGCCCAGGGCGAGCTTCCAGAGCTCCACGGCACCCCCAGGCGGGAGGACACCCACCTGCCACCTCCTCTGGCCCCCAAGCAAGGTGGCCAGGCAGGGATGACAGATCTGCCCTTGACAGAGGGATACTGAGGCTTGGCGAGGTGACGGGAGCCTGGACAGAGGCTAGGGGCTGGGTCCAGGCCCAAGGACACCCACTCCGAAGCCCCATCTCCATGGGACCACTGCTTTGAGGTTCCGCGGTCGGCTGCTGCCGGGACCTCTCTGGGCCTCCCACAGTGCTGCAGAGGGCTGGGACTTGAGGTCGTCAACTCCTTGCTACAAATGGGGAAACTGAGGCCCAGACTGAGGAGCAGTCCCTGTGAGTGAGCAGGCGTGAGGACCAGGCCTCGGGTCACTTCCCCAGGACTGTGTCACTGTACAACAGACCCAAGGTCTGGGGGACCCGGGACCCTGGCAGAGTGAGACCTCTCTGGCCTGCACAGGGGGATGAGGACAYGGGTCTTTCTGGGTGGGGTTCCCAAGCACTTCACCAGGGTCCTCTTTTTGACGCCTGCCCTCCCGCCCATTGCTGCCCAGGGCAGGAGCTCAGCAGGACCCTGTGGCTCCCTGGGGACCTCTGGGGTGCCTGTGGCCTGAGGGGTCTGGGGTCTCCTGCTTCCACAGCCTGGGTTCCAGGAGGCTGTGGGACCACGTGGAGGGGGAGGGAGGGACATGGGCAGATTACAGGCAGCTGGCAGCGTGCAGCAGGCCGGTCTCACACACCGAACCTGTCACTCGCCAGATAATCGCCCATCGGAGGAAGGAAAATAGAAACGCGCCAGCCGGCAGTTTACAAAATAGGATGCCCGCTCGCGGGAGGCAGCCCGCGAAGCTGTCAGTTCCCCTGTCACCTTCCCCTCYGCCAAGCAGGGGATTCGGTGAGGGCTGGGCCTGGGGGAGCAGCGCAGCGGGGTCACTGGCCACTGGGCGGGCCCCTTGGAGGGAYGCGGGCAGCCCAGGGGCTGGGGCGGAGGAGCCACCGTGCTGCGCCCGTCCTTCCGAGAGGCGGAGCAGCCTCAGCTCAGGGACTCAGGCGCGGCCCTCCCTCTTGCTGACGGGCAGGGAAGACCTCGGTTTCCACCAGCAAATGATTAAAGTTGAAGATGTTCACATAAACATGCCCCGAATTAATGGGCAAGTCAGTCCCTGCTCGCCCACTGCACAGGCGCAGGGAGGAGGCGGCTGCTTCAGAGGCCAGAATCCCAGTGGCTGCTCCCGGCGTMTGGCGGGCGACCAAGCTCCCAAAGCCCTTGGCATCTGCCCCTCCACCTCCGTGGGGTACTGGGCTGAAGGCCACCCTGAACACAGGGCCTGGCACACGGGGACTCTCCACGGGGCGCCCACGGTTTCAATTTCAGTTCAGGTGGGGCAGGCAGTGGGGACCTGCCACGTGCCATCGTGTGGCTGAGCCTCCCGAGGGCTCTCACGTCCCTCAGCCTGGACGTGTTACCCCCATTTTACAGGTGAGAGAAACCAGCCTGGAGATGTGACCTGCCCGAGGACCCCAGCTGGCCAGGACCCCAGCGCTGCCACGTCAGACCCTCAGGGCAGAAGCTCAGCCCAGCCAGAGGGCCTGGGGGACGTGCCCGACAACACCTGAGGCTCGCTCCTGTGCTAGGTCCTGGGGTAGGGCTGGGGTCTGGAACCTGCCCAACTGGCCTCTTTGAGAACTCAGGGCTGTGCAGCTGGGCGGCTGGCACAGGGAGAGGAGGGCTTCTTGGGAGCCATGGCCGCTGCCTCTGGGTGAGACAAAGAGGCAGGTCTCTGGAACCTGGAGACTGGGAAGCTCAACAGTGTTGAGGGACAACCCGTCTGGGGGCTGCGGCAGGAAAGGGTCCCAGGAAAGCTGGGAGGGGGCCAGGGTGAGCGTTGGCCAGGCCCCAGCTGACCAGGCTGAGCCTGGGGAGGCCGAGGTGGGCCCATCCCGCCAGCCTGGACTCTCGGCCTGCGGGGACGCTGTGGGGGGAGGGGCGGCAGGAGGCCGGCTGAGCTTCCCCCAGCCGCCCATCTGTCACCCCGACAGGGCGAGGAGGACTGTAATTTCTCCAGCTGCAGCCTTCAGAGGGAGGGAAGAGCCCATTGCTCATGAGCCACCGAGTGACCAAGTGCTTGGTCATCCCTGGTGTCCGGAAGGGGGGTGGATGGAAAAGGCTACKGCGCTGCTGGCGGCCTGGGCTGGGTTCCAGCCCCTGGGGATCTGACCACAGGGGTGACATGGCTCAGGGCTGGAGTCTGAGCAGGTGGCCGGTGGCTGAATTCCAGGCACAGTACCAGGACACCACTGCCACTCCCCCGCCCCTCTCTGGGCCTCAGTTTTTGTTGTGGAAGGCGGTAGAGACAGCTAGACAGTCCGAATCCCTGACCCCATAAAGGGGCACCTTCTGGCCAGTGCCTGGGGGCTGTCCCCACAGGGATGCCAGCAATCCCTCATCACCCGCCTGGTGCCTGCAGGAACCTGACTCCGGGGCAGGGAAGGGTGGGGGTGGGGACAGACTGAGGGTCTGCATCCCTGGAAGGCTGTGGGCGGTGTACGGGGGGACTCTGGGGACAGGGTGCAGCTCTCTCACCCCACCTAGGGCACTATCCAACCACACAGCCTTGAGCACGTCACACCCCTCTGAGCCTCACTTTGCTATGACAGGAGGGTGCTCAGCCTCGCCAGCATCACCCTGCCTCTTGGAGGGACCCAAGCGTGACCCTGGGCTGTCCCAGGGTCCCCAGGAGAATGTGCAGGACAGACAAGGTCTGGACCCTGGTAGCCAGGAGCTGGTGGCTGTGGGCGAGACTTTGCCTCTGGCCTCATGCTCTCCGCAGACGGCAACGGCCACGGCCCCTGGTCGGGGCTGAAGTCAGGCCTGGGCTGCAGGCGTCCAGTCCAAGGGCAGCGCGTGGTGTCAGCAGCCCCCACCTCTGCGAGGCCCGAGGCACAGCCCCACTTCTTACCTGGATGAGGCGGCCCTGCTCATGCTGCATGGTGCTGAGCCCCTGGCCCAGCATGCTGTGCCCCTGGCGCAGCCCCGTGCACTCGGCCTGCAGCTCCGAGGCCCTGGCCAGCAGTCGGGGCAGCTGGTCGGCCAGGGTGTCCAGCAGCTCCTGCTCCTGGGTGTCCGCCAGCTGTGGCCGGGCCTGGTGCTCAGTCAGCGCCCGCAGCACCGAGGCCTGGGCACCCTCCAACCGGGCAAAGCCGTCCGCAAGGTCAGGGCAACGTGGGTCGATGAGGATGCTGAGGTGGGAGCTGTCGGCCCTCTCCACGGTGACCAGGGCACTGTTGGCCCCAGCCGGTCCCGTGCTGACGATGGGTGGGGGCGCCGTGCCCGGGACRTGCACGTGGTTCAGGAAGAGCACTGCGCTGGTGACGGCCACAGCCAGCAGCACGGCCAGGGACAGCAGCACGGTACACAGCACGTAGCCACAGCTCGGCCGCTGCAGGCAGCCCAGGATGCATGGACAGACAGACGGACAGGAGAGAGGGGGGCAGGCATCAGGGGCAGACCCCGGCCTCCGGCTCTGCCCAGTGAGGGGGTGCTGGGGGTGCGGGCAGCAAGAGAACTAGAAAGGTGGAGGGAGCCAGGGCCCAGAGGGCAGCCAGGACAGGGAGAGGTGCACTATGCCTTCCCTCTGACCCCCTGCCCCACCTGCCACCTGCCACAGTGCAGCACAGCAGTCCCCGGTCCCCTTCACGTGCAGCCACTTGGATCCCACAGAGCCCCGCGGGTCCAGTGGGGGCTGAGGCACATCCCCACTCTGCCGCCCGCAGGCCCGGGCTCAGGTTCCTGTGTGACCTCTGCAGAGGGACCTCACCTCTCTGAGCCTCAGTTTCCTCACCTGTAAAAATGCAGCAATAGTGGCTCTTGTTTCTCTGTATGTGGGCACCTGCTCTGCTGACCCAGGGAGAGAGCCTGAATGGTGATGTGGGTCATGCTAAAATGGACATGCTGTCACTGCCCTGGGGTGGTGGATGCCAGTCACCCAAGGTCCCGCGGATCCCTTGTCTGTTCTACGGTGGCTGGTCTCTACCTGCTGGGCACAGAGTGGCTGCCTGACATCTCCTCTCCCCTCGACTGGCCCTCTTCACAGGGCAGGGCCCTGGCAGGACAGATGCCAAACAGCCCCAAGGCCACTGGGCAAGGTCCCTGCCTTAATGACTGAGGCTGTGACTCCCAGAACGGGATGAATGGAGGCAGGGAAGGCAGGGGACAGGTCAGAGGACAGGGCCCTCTGGGTGGGGCCTAAAGACCAAAGCAGCCCCAGCCAAAGTGCAGCTGGCCGTGAAGGGCGGCCGTGGCTCACAGCAGCAAGTGCTTATGGGGCAGGTTCACGGGGCGAACCGCTGGCAGCTACTGGACATTTTACACAAAGGAAAAGAGGCCCTGAGAGGGCAAGGGGCTTTCCCAGAGTCACACAGCAAGTTAGGAACAGAGCTTCAGTTGGATCCCAAGCCTCCTGCTTTCCCCCAGGGCCAGGGACCCCCTACCACTGAAGCTCCTCAAYGTCATGACCCACATTTCCAACTTGCTGAATCTGAGATGCTTCTTTAAATGAGTTAGTATACACCAGCACTTGGAGCTGTGCCTGGCCCCTGTGTTTCTGCGATAAATATTAGCAGCTTTTATTATCCCGCGATCAACGTGCACCAGTGTCTGGAGGTGGTTTTATTTCTGTGGCTCTGGATGCCTGAGAGGCACGCCCCCCTTTCTCTCTCTCTCTCTCTCTCTCTCTCTCTGACGTGGCAGGGGCGTCTTGCACTGTGGCTGACAGCGCTCTGGCTGCCTCGGGGAGACAGCCATCAGGTCTTACTACTGAGAAAGCCTCGGGAGGCGCAGCGCCTTTCTGTGCATGCACATGCTCATAAGAGGACAGGTGGGGAGGGGCAGGCAGACCCGGGCACCCTGAGGAGGGGTCTGGTCTTTTGTCAAGGTGAGGACAGAGGTCCTGGGGCTGTCCCTCTGGCCATGACGCCGGGTCCCCCACACCCGGACCATCTTCTCCACCCCAGCTCCCCCGGCTCCACAAGGGCTGCTCCTGGGCCGGGCACAGCTGCTCGCTGGCTCCCTTTCCTGGTGGCCCCACTCACTTTCCTCCTCAGGCCCCAGGGGGTTATCTCCTCCAGGAAGCCTTCCTGGATTTCCCTCCCTCCCTGAGCTTGGGGACTTCTCCCCGTTCCCCATGAGGGTGCTGGAGACAGAAGGTCATGAGATCCCCCGTGCCACATTCTCTGGGTCTCCCTAGGAGCCAGGCTCCCTGAGGGTGGGGAGGTCAGACCCCGGGTGGGGAGCTCATGTCCCTCAGACTGTGATGCGTGACCTCCCTGGGGCGCTGAGCCACATGGGCAGGTGATGAAGCCGCGGACGGCGTTTCTGGGGACTCAGGGCTGGCGGATGCCCTGGACGGTGAGTCCCAGCCCAGGCGAGGACCTGCTCACTGCCCAGCACAGACTGTCTTGACTGCTGGATATTGATGGATGGACAGACAGATGGATAGACAGACAGATGGATGGACAGACAGATGGCCTAGGCCGTGTCTGCAGGACGATGCTGGACTGGGGAGGAGGCGAGGGTCTGCTGGGACCTGCCGGGCATGGTCGGCAGAGCCACCTCTGACCCTGTGCCCACCTCTGATGATGCGGCACTGAATGAAGGTGACCTCTGGGCCGGCCCAGGCCCCAGCGGCTCACAGAGAGGCAGGATTGGCATGATCGGTCACTCCATGGGCACCCGCCTGCTCCCCCACCCCAGCTCCAAGCAACCTCCTGCAGTGAACAGAGGGTCCAGCTCATCCTGCCTACGGGAGACTGAGGCTCAGAGAGCAAGGACCCAAGCCCAAAGCCACGTGGGGACAAGCAGTAGAGGCAGCCTCTGCAGGCTGAGCGGCTCGCGGTGGGCAGGTGCGCCAGGACCGCTCCCCGGCATCCTCCCGTGTCTTTCCTCCTCCTGAGGAGCTCCGGCTGGGGCTCTGGAGACAAAGCCCCACGTCAGCAAGTAAGCCCCAGCCTTGTGTGTTCCGGCGTCCGCCGGGAGACACCTTGCCCGGAGCATCTCTGAGCTGCATCCTTGGACTGTGCAGCGTCCAGGTCCCTGGTGGCGTGGTGGGGTGCTCTGCAGAGCAGCCAGCCACCCCCCACGGGGCGTCCAGGACCCCAGCCCGACCACCGGGCACCCTCCTCCCCACCCCCAGCCCTCCCTGGAAGACAGAGGCCATCAAGGAGGGCAGGGGCTCTCGCAGGCTTGGGGACCCTGGAGGCAGGGACATCGCAGCCAGGAGATGAAGCAGGGCACTTGGCAGAGGAGAATTAGTCTTCAGAGATCAACCTTAAAGATGAAGTGCTATTCGCTTTTATAGGCTGTAGTTTACGTGCCTCGCAAAGAAATCTGCCTGAGACAGCGAGGAGCCGGCCAGGGGGCCTTGGGCTGCAGCTTACTGATCAGCCTTTGGCCACCACAGAGCCAGGGACCCCAGAGGATGGCGCGAGGGGGAGGGGCACACGGGCACCACTTCCCCTGAACGAGGCATCCCAGGTGGCAGCCTTGAGGCCAGCCTCCCAGAGCCCAGGAAGGGAGACCCAGGTTCAAGGTCCACTTCAGCCACTAACTGCCCATGTGAGCTACCAACTGGGGGGGGAACACCGCTTTGTTTCTTGAGTGACCCCCAGTGCCAGCTCAGGGTCCATGGCTGCTTGGAAAACCTTAGCCCACAGAGGACAAGATGGATTTGGGCTGGGAGAGAGGCAGGAGGTGCCCCAGTTAGGTGACAGCTGCCCAGGCTACCTGTCCCCAGTGGGGCTGAGGGGGAGGAGCTCCGCCCTCCACTGCCCTTCTGCCTTGACTCTGAGGAAGGTCACGGTGGCACAGTCCCCCGAGTGGCCCCAGCCTATCTCCTCGGATGAAGTCACAGAGGAAGGTCCCCCTCCAGGGGGCAGGCGAGGTCAGAGCCTGCGTGAGCCTCTGCGCCCACTGCCTCTCCCGAGCCCCAGCCAGGCAGGAGGCTGTTCCTCCCAGGAGGACGTCCAGGGGCCGTGGGCTGGAAGAACCAGGGGCCTGGGTGCTCTGGAGCCCTCAGGGAGCCGCACAGCCCCTGCCCCAGCCCAGAGCCCGGGGTTCTTCCTCCATCTGAATCATGAGCCCCAGGCCCTGGCAGAAGCCCTGGGGAAAGGGCGGGTGCTTCTGTTCCAATTCTGGAGTCCCCCAAATGTGGGAAGAGATTGGCCTCCTGTGTGACCTGGGCACGCCCCTGTCCTGCCAGAGCCTCTCCAACGGAGACCGTTCTGAGGGCGTCTGGAGCCACGGCGCTGGAGGGTCCCAGGAAGAAGGGCTTGCGGGGTCCAGAAGGAAGCAGCTGCAGCCTCGCCCCTCCTGGAGGCGCGAAGCCCCCAGGCTCTGGCTCCCCAGGGGGCGCTCGGCTCTGGTCTGCTGGGGTCTGTCCCCAGAGGTTTCCTATACTGGCCTGTCCACTCTCCTCAAACACACAGCTCCTGGCCTCCCAGGTGGCCTGCCTGGGCCTCACGCCCACTGAAGCCCACACCAGGGTCTGTCCACCCCAGCAGGAGGATGGCACCGACCCACCAGCTGTCCTCCAAAGCTAGCACCTCCCTGGGCCCCCTCACCCACATCGGTCACCCAGCTCTGTCCCCTGCCTCTGCTGCCCCCTCGCCCACTGCCCCACCCCCAGGTCCTGCCCTGGCCCAGGCCCCACCACAGGGACCACAGTGACCATCTCCCTGCCGGCTCCCCCTCCCCCAACTCCAACACAAGGAACCCACAAGGCAGAGCCGTCCAGGGCACTGTCCCCTTAAACCAGGGCACTGAGACCACCCCAGGGCACCAGAGGCTGGGCTAGTGTCAGCCTCGAGGCACCTGCTTGGTGCTCCTGGTGACCCTCCCCCTGCACCTGAGCCCTCTCCACCAAGCTTCTCCGCGGCCCGCCTCCGCCTGCCCGGGCCGCCCACCGGCCACACAGGGCTGCACAGTGAGCTCCTCTGGAGCAGCAGCGGCTCTGGGAGCGCAGGGCGGGGGAGCCCCAGGAGTCTCCCTCTCCCTCTCCCTCACCCCAAACGTGGCCTCATCCCAAGCCCCAGGAAACATGAGGGAGGGATGAGGCCCAGCGGTCATGCCGAGGCCCACCGTCTGGTATGATAAAGTCTGGCTTCTGGGTTGGCTTCTGGGATCTAAGCCTCCTGGGGCACAGCCTCCTTGCACCAAGTATGTTCTCCATAAATAGCCACCAAGTGAGTTAAATACAGCAGGAGTTAAGGTTAGACATCAGGAAAAACTTCCCGATGAGAATTTGTTTCTTTCTTTCTGGGATGTTTTTTGAAGTTTTGAAAACATCAAGAGACGCTGTCTGGGATGGGCTGGAGGTCAACCTCATTGCGGGGAGGCTTCGGGACTGCTGGAAACCAGCCTCGCCTCCCTAGGGAGGAGACAGTCTCTGGTGACTTCCTCCCTCCAGGCTGGAAGGACCCTGTCTAGTTCTAGATCCTTTCATCCAAGTAACTCCCTTCGGCTCCGGAGCCTGGGGGCCCTCCTTCTGCCCAGTGAAAGGACAGTCCTGAAGTTGAGGTCAGCAACGCGTCCTAGGTCACCCAGAAAATGAGAAGATGAGGCCAGACAGACGGAGTGGCCCAAGGCGGTCCCGGGACCCAGGGTGTGGACGTGCCCTGAGAGCCACACACGGGAGCGGAGCCCTGTCCCGGGGAAGGATGCCCTCACTCTGGCTGAACCTCCCTCCTTGCTCTTCCCAGAGGACGCCCTCTGCTGCCCGAGGGCCCGGCTCAGCTCCCAGCTCCCGCGCCTGGTGTCCTCGTCTGTCCTGGGTGATGGGCACCTCTGCCACCCAACTTCCAGGGTGGTTGTGACTAAGAAGTGAGAGATGTCGGGTTGAGCCCAACTGGTACCCCGGGGTGGGTACTGGAATATTCTAGAAGAAGGGCCCTGTGACAGAGGCCCTTGTGGTGGGAGCTGGGGTGCAGAGAAGAGATTAGGGTCCTGACAGCCGGGGAAAGGGGTCCAGGTGCTTAGAGAACCAACCTCTTCATGGGTGCACAGTGCTTTACAGTTTGCAAAACACCCCAGTATTTCAGTCAGTCCTAAAGGGAGGAGGACGCAGATTTTGCTGCTCCCATTTTACAGACGGTACAGCCCAGGCCCAGAGAGGAGGCATAACTTACCCAGAGTCACACAGCCTGTCAATGAATAGCTAAGGTGAAAGTGGAAGCAAGGGAGGGGAGGCTGGGGGGGGGGGGCAGGCCTCAAGGGAACCTGGGCCCCAAGGCTCTCTCCGGCCTGACAGTGGGCACAAGAAAGGCCTGGGCTCCGTCTGTAGCTTCAAATAAGCATAGAGCTGGCCCAGGGGACAGCCGGCCACCTGCTGGCTCACCATGTGAGGAGAGGGGTTTCTGGTATTGGCTCAGGCTCCTGGACCCCAGTGGTGCTCAGGGGCACGTGCAGCTGGGAGCTGAGCCCCTGGGGAGCAGCAGGCCTGGGAGGCTGAGCCTGGCCCAGGACACCTTGAAGCCACATCTCAAACGGATCCCTAGAAGCCACCTCCCCTGGAGACAGCGCAGGCTCCCTGGCTCATCGCCCAAGGCCCCTCCTGGCTGAAGCTCTGAGCAGCTCACTCAGCAAACAGCTTTGGGCTCCCAACCTGAACGGCCTGGAAGGAAGGAGGCCTGGGCCTGCAGGGGGACCACAAGTGGGGACCCAGAAGGTGTTTGTCCAAAGGGAACTGCCCTGGAGGGGGACCCAGTGCTGGGGGATGGGGCACTGAGTGGAGGCACAGGCTAAGAACCCTACTGGGACTGAGAGACACACCCACTAGGCATCTGGGAAGGCTTCCCAGAGGAGGTGGCTTCATTTGAGCTGGGTTTTGAGGACTAGGTAAGGTGTCCCTGAATGAAGAGGCCTGCGCGCGCGTGCGTGCGTGTGCGTGTGCGTGTGCGTGTGCGTGTGTGTGTGTGTGTGTGTTGGGGAGCCTGGTAGAGCCAACAAGAAGAGAGATCAAAGATCTGGAAGTCGAGCGAGACCCAGAGTTGGCCAATGACAAGCTGTCCGTACCTGCAGGGGACTCAGAGGAAGAGAGACGGGGCCAGGCTGGGGACGGCCCTCAAGGACAAGTTTAGAAATGAAGGCTGAGTCCAGACTCAGCAGGAGGGGCTTGGTACCTGGATGGCTTGGGGGAGACCAGGCTTAGGAAGCCAGGTAGACCCCTGTCCCCTGAGAAGGCAGTGGGAGAAGCTGGGGGCTCAGCCTGGGTCTGGATCTTTGCTCTCCTGCTGACAGGCTGTGTGACTGGTGACCACTCATGCACACCGCTGACCGGCCCCCAGACGGCTTTGGGGTGTGAGACAGTGCAGAGGAAGGGAAAAGGTGTGCCAACTGCCGGAGGCTGGGTCCCCCTGCCACACCAGTGTCCCTCCAGAAGAACGGCAGGCTGCAGCTCCAGAGAGCAGGGGCCCCCCAGGCCCGCCCCGYCGCCCCCTCCAGTGGCTGCAAACTCACTGTTCCTTCCCCAGTGACAGCTGTCTGGAAGAAATTTAAAATTTAAAACGAACAGCCCCATTATCTCCTCTCCATGGTGAGCAGCCGCTCCTCCAGCCTGCCGGCCCTGTCCCTTGGTAGCCCGGCCTGGGGCAGCCCTGGGGCAGCCCCTCCGCCTCAGCTCTGGATGGCACCCCTCGATGGATGGCCAGCCCTGCTCTACTCTCACCTCTTCCTGCCCCCAGGGACAGAGGTGGGCACCCTCCAAGTCTCCAGCAGGGCAGAGGCAGCAGGAAGGGAGGGCCCAACCAGCCCTGAAGCACACAGACCAGGGTTCAGATCCCTGCAGAGCTGTGTAGCCTCAGGCTGGAGATGGGCCTCTCTGAGCCTTGCTTGGCGCTCCTTAAAGTCAGAGAATCACAATGTCCAGCCTTCTTAACAGGAGATGAACGTGTATTAATTCCCTGCTGTATGCAGGGTCCTGACATATGGGAAAGATTAAGGGGAGATCCAGGGAAGCCACTTCTGGTTCTGAAGCTCAGGTTGATGTACCAGGTGCCTGGCACAGGGTGGCATCCAGAGTGGGGACTTTGTAAGTGCTGAAGATGCCCAAGATAGAGGTGAGGAAATCGATTCAGCAAGGGAAGTCATTTGTCGGTCAAGAGCAAACTAAAGGGCTGATCATAGCTAACTATAGGTCCTCTACTCAGTTTGCACACCAGTACCCAGAATCTCTGCTGGGGACTGGAGCGGGGTGCACCTGGCCACAGCCTGAGAAGCTCCTCCGGGGGCGCCGCACCCATCTGAGCCCCGAGTCCAGTATCCTATGGGGAGGAGAGAAGGGTGCCCGCCCCGGGCCTCCTGGCTGGAGCTCCCCAAACTCCAGCCCCCGCAGTAGGTGCCCGCCCCGCAGACCAAACGGACAGCGCCTCACCAGCCGCTGGCCCCTGTCCCCGCGCCGGTGTGTACCTGCGGCTTGTCGCGGGGCCGTTCCTCAAGTTGGGAAGCACCGCCCATGGTCTTCCACCGGTCGTTGACCATCTTCCGGCAGGACTGGCGGGGGCGCCGGCCGAGGCGCGCCGCTGCGGAGCGCAAAGGCGGCGAGGTGGGCGCAGGCTCGGGCGCGGAGCGCGCTCTGTCTGCCGGGTCCCCTCCTCGGTACCTGGCACCGGCACCGGGGCGACCCGGCAGCGGGCGGCTGTGTGCAGGTGTGTGTGTGTCCCGGTGTGCGCGCGGGTGTGTGCGGGAGCGCGAGAGCCGCCCGCTGCCAGCCCGCCTGCCGCTCTCGCTGCGCGCCGTCCCCGCTCCCCGCTCCCCGCTCCCGCGCCTCCCTGCGCGCTCCTCTCCCAGCTCCTTCCTCCCGCCCCCTTCTCAATCTCCGTGTCTTTTTTGTCTCGGACTCTCCTGCCTTTTATTGCTCCCCTCGGCCTCCCCCCGAAACACACGCGCGCACGCACGTACACACACCAGCACGCGCACAGGCACCGCGGACTTGGAGAGTCAACTCCACCTCCCAAACGGCCGGGATAAAGGAGGCAGAACTGGCCCCCAGGCCCCCGGCAAACGGGCACGGGCTGCGGGCTGACGGCGCCTCTGCACAAACTTCCTCTCGGCGGGACTCGCACCAACTCACCCTGCGCGGGGCGCGGCGCCAAGCGGGCCTCGTGGACGCCCCCGCGGCGCCGTCGAGCGTCTCCCGGGAGCGGTGCCGCGCTCCGCTGGGCTCGGGGCGCGGGACCCACTCCTAAACCCTAGGAGTCAGGGGTGGGGACAGGCAAGAGTGCGCCCCCTGTGGGCCCGAGGTCTTGGTCCGGGTCCTGGGGCAAGTGTGCCCAGCCGGAGAGTCTCCGGCCGCCTGCCCCGCCCCGTTCCAACGCGACGCTCCAGCCGGGTTTTGGGAACGCCTCGGCCTGCGTTCCCAGACCCGTGCCCTGGCGCTCGCGGCCCCACAGCGGATCCACGCTTCTCTGCCCAGGAGGCTCGCGGGCCGAACCTGGGTCCCTGCCGCCAGGACAGCTGCGGGCGCCGCGGGCGCGCGTACCAGCTGCTCCGCGACCCTTCCGCGCTCCCGCGCAGTCCCAGTCCCCCGCCTCCCCCTCTGCCCGGAGAGGAGGGATTTGAGCCGGGAGGGGGGCTTCTTAGGCGCCCCTTCCCACCGGCAGCACTTTTAAAAGCATTTAATCCGCCCGAGCAGCCTTCGGAGGTAATTGACAAAGTCCTTAATCTGCACCGTTAACGAGCTGCTATTGTGGCTTCTGACCGGGTGGCTCCCACACGCCCCACGCCGCGCCCCCGCCGGCTGCCCCTCCCCCGCACCTGTCTGCGGCCGCCTGTCTCGGGCTCCCCCAGCTCCCGAGAGACGCCCCCGTTCCCGTCCCCCGCTTCTCCCAAAGCTGTTTTCCGGCTCCCGGGGCGCCTTGGCCCGCCACGCTGTTCCCTGGCACCGTCTTCGTCTCTCTCCCACCGGCTGCCAGTCTGTCTCCCCATCTTTGTCCCTCTCCTTGTCCCTCTCCGCGGTCACGGCAGGCTACCTGGGGGTGGGGACTTGGGGCAGGAGTGCTCCTGGAGCTACAACGGACTGGTGGTGGCCCCAGGCCGTGAGAGGAGACTGTCAGTCACTAGCCAGAAGCTGGGCTCCCAGTTCCTGTGGGTCTACCACCTTCTTTTCCTCCCTGGTGCCTGCTGGCCTCACCTGCAGCCCCACCTCAGCTGCCCGGGCTCTGGCCAGGTTGTTGGAGATGATCTCCTAGCACTGGCTGAGTCAGACTTGGGTTCCCTTCTGAACTCGGGCTCTGTCTGTGTGTCCTCCTTTTTCACTATTAATTAGAGGGTGGCTGGGGCTGGGGATGTGGCTCAAGGTAGCGCGCTCGCCTGGCATGCGTGCGGCCGGGGTTCGATCCTCAGCACCACATACCAACAAAGATGTTGTGTCCGCCTAGAACTAAAAAAAAAAATAAATATTAAAAATTCTCTCTCTCTCTCTCTCTCTCTCTCACTCTCTCTTTAAAAAAAAAAATAATAATTAGAGGGTGGGTGGGTGACCTGGAGGACCCTCAGGCCTGGGCAAAAGGATTTGGTGGAGAAACAGGGTCCTGGCTGTGTGGCCTGAGCTTCTCCACTTACTCCAAGGGGTTCGAAGCACCCTCCAGGAAGTCCTCGGTGGGTTCTAAGTGACAGTATATTAAGGCACCTGGCAGGAAGGCCTCAGTGGGGTTCTAAGTGACAGTATGTTAAGGCACCTGGCAGGAAGGCCTCAGTGGGGTTCTAAGTGACAGTATGTTAAGGCACCTGGCAGGAAGGCCGAGACATCCCCGGGGGAGATTCCATGTTCTCTCCTGACTGGGTTTCCTCATTGAGGAGGAAGCTGGGAGGTGTGCAGCCCCTCAGGGGGTCTGGTATGAAGCAGGCTTGGGGTAGGGGCTGCATGTCTGCCGTTCCACAGTTGGAGTGAGGCAGAGCAGTCTGAGTGAGGGTGCTGAGGGCCAGCAGAGGAAGTCCTGGGGGGGGTGGGTGTGCTGGGTGGCCAGGGAAGGCACCCGAGAAGAAGGATCATAGGCCTCCCGTGAAGGCAGGGGTGCCTGGATGCTGGGGAGGAAGGAGTTCCCAGTGCGGGGCCACAGCAGCCTGTGTGCCTGGGCAGGTGCCGACCCAGCTTGCTCCAGACCACTTGCTCCGGGGCCTGCAGAGGGAGCCTGGACAGGTGAGCGGGGGCCACCTAGCGGCTCCTCCTGGCAGTGTTTTCTGCCGGGTCATCACACCCGCTCAGCAAAGGATCCCCAGCCCTTCTGCCTGTGGGGCTGCAGTGTGCATGTTGGGGTTCAGTCCTCACCCCATCACCCGCCCTATGATGCCTCTGTTTAGGACACCAGAGGGCCAGCCATGACACGTGACTGGCGTGAGCCTGCAGGTGCTTTACAGGCTGAGCTCACCTGATGCTCCTGGGCCTTGTCCTGGAGAAGAGCTGCACCTGTCACCAGCCCCTCAGGGCGTCATGCGGGGAGAAGATGGAAGCCGTCCCAGAGCCTGTGCAACCCCTCCCTGAGACCTGCTGGAAGAGAGGACAGCTGAGCCCACAGAGCAGTCTCCCCACCCCCCATAGCCTTTGGACAAAGCCCGCGGTGCAGGACACCAATGCTAAGCCCACGCAGCATGCTGGACTGGGTAGGAGCTGGGCTTCCCAGCCAGCCCAGGATCCATCTCAGGGAGGCCAGAGCCCGGGGCCTGCAGGCCACATGGGACCAGATCCAAGGCTGGCCTGTCCCCTGCCACCCCTCTCTTCCTCACTAATCTGTTTTCTTTTCTGTGGCCACCCAACAGACAAGGCCTGTCTGAGATACTTAGTTTAAATTCCAGGGAGAAGGAAGGGCTCTGATCCCACCCACTCGTCCTGTAGACCAGGCCTTATCAATCAGGTTGTCAGCTGACCTGGGCATGGTCCTTGACAGGTGCCCACTGCAGCCTACTGGGAGGGTGTGGCTCCGGGGACCTGACACAGGGAGGGGTGTGGGGCAGACAGTGAGGCACACCATGTGGGAAAGACAGAAACCAAGAGTGCCAATGAGGGGACAAGGGAGAGTAGCTGGGGACATAGGGTGACAATATCCGGGTGCCACCCCTGGGCCAGTTGCCGTCTGTTGAGTATCACCCTCTGCTCAGCCCCTCTACTAGGTGGGAGCTCTTACCATCTCCTTTTATAGGTAAGGAAATGGACGTGGAAAGGTCACTTACGCAGCACAGTAGCAGTCTCCTTAATAATATAAGCTGGGTGTGTTGGTGCCCACCTTTACCCCAGCCACTCAGGAGGCTGAGGCAGGAGGATGGCAAGTTCAAGGCTAGCCTGGACAACTTAGCAAGGCCCAGCCTCAAAACAGAAAGTAAAAAACCAGGCTGGGGATGTAGCTGAGGGGTAGAGCCCTTGCCTAGTATGTATGTGTCAGGCTCTGGGTTCAATCCCTAATACTTTAAAATACATTTTAAAAAAAACTATACCATCAATACCAAATTACCATTTGGTAAGCATGTCCCCTGTGCTAGACCCTGCTCGTGAGCACTACCCTCTTACTTCACGTCACCCTCACCCAAGACCTGTGGGTATTGCTACTCTCCCCATTTAAAAGATGAGGCAACTGCACTTCAGAGAGAAGTACCTGGACCGAGGTCACACAGAAATTGGTGGGGCCAGGGTTTGAGCTCTGGCCTGCACTGTTGGAACCCACTCTCTTCCTCAAATGCCTTGGCGCCTCTTGTCTGAGAGCTCCTGAACCGGATTGCAGCAAGGGACTCAGCGAACGTGGAGGGAATGTCAAATGTGCCCATCTCCCGGGGCCTGGGGCTGGCTGGCCAAGAGGTCAGGACCTCTGGCCCTCGTCCACCCAGCCTCTGCCCTGCTCTGCCACAGGCACTCAGTTCTCCCTGTAAAGCTGCTCCAACTTAACTCTGACAGTCACATTTATCATTAAAAATGAATTTGTCTTGGCTTCCCATGGCACGGAAAGGTGCTGTGCGGTGATTCAACGGGCTTGTCACCCCTCACGGTTAGGCACGGGGAGCTGAACAACTGGATGGTCTCCAACGCCAGCTCCTCATTTTCTGCAGCTGGAGCCAGAAATGTACAGTGGGCTGACATTTAATTTAGAATCCAACACACCTTGACACAAACCCATAATACAAAGGCGGGGGTGGGGGTGGGGCTGCCAAGCCTGGCAGGGTGGGGAGTCCAAGTGACAGGGTGGATTTCTTTCTTTCTTTTTATTTTTTATTTTGCTTTGTCAACACTGAGTGGGGATGACAGACCAGAGACTGTTCTCAAAGGCAGGAATTAGCAGGGAGTGTGCCCGTGTGCGTGTGTCCCTTTGTGTTGGCTCCCTGTGCAGCAGGCCTCTGTGCCTTGAGTCCACTGGATGCTGTGTGTGGCATCTACGGCRAGTCTGTCAGCTGTGCCCAGAGAAGCAGGTGCCCAGAGCAAGCCCCCAAGGCTGAGGCTGGAACCCAGGAGCGAGGGAGGATCGCACCTGCACCCACAGGTCCCCTGCATACAGTCG